TGTAGTCTTAATTCATCTCAAAATAAGTGAATCTCAGCTGTGATTACCATGTTTGTCCTTTTGACCCAATGTAACTGCTTCCTCCTGTCACCAAATGCTAATTTTTTTCCTGTGTAAGGAATATTCCTACAAGTTAATTTTTTATCTCTTCTCTGCTAGCCTATAAACCATTTCAAAGAAAAGTCAAGTTTTCTTAGTAAAAATCTGAATTAAAATCAAGTATTTTTCTCATTGCATAAGAAAATGATCGAACATTTTCAACAAATGGGTAGGATGATGGCAACATCATCTGTGTTGTAGGTAAGCAAAGAACATTTATAGTCAGCTAGAGGAAACCACCATTCTTCCCTGTTTCAGAAATATATTTACTGTAGTATCTTCCTACTGATGCAGGTATTAGCACAATCAAGGCTTGGGCAAAGAAGTTCAGTAGTGAGATATGATCAGAGTTCAAGCTCTTGAATAATGGAAGCTCTGAGACAGTATGTTACTTTGTAATTGCTTAGTGCAGTCTACTATCTATCATGTAATTAACAAGAGTAGAACTGCACTGTAACAGCTTATTGCTGTGTTCAACAAGCAAAAAAATTCTGGAAAAAGCCTACAGAGATACTTAAGTTGACAAGTCATTTCTGTACATGATACTGCTCATTCTCATTCATTAGTTCTTTGACACCTACCTTCATATTCTGCTTTGATTCTCAGAGTTTCATCTGGCCCTTTGTGAGCAGAGGTTACTCTTAACTCACAAGGAATTCCAAAGGTTGCACATGCCTTCTTTATTTTCTCACAGTGGCCAAGGTCAGAAGTAGATCCCATCAATACCACAACTCTACCTTGGCTCTTTGTTTTCAGAAGCAGCTACAAGAAAGAATTAAGGGAGAAGACAGAAGGAAGAAGGCAAAAAAAAGGAGAGAAAAAAAACAGTCAAGAGACTGAAGACAGTTATCAAAGACCACATACACTGTTCATTAAAAGAAAAAAGCCAGCAGAAAATACCTCTACTCTTTCTGCAACCCATTCAAAGTTTCTCTTAACCATCTGCAGTGCTTCAGGAGTCACTTCCTTCAGGTCTCGATAGGACTGAACAGGAAAAAAAAAAAAGCCCACAAAAAAACAAAAGCAAGAGTTAAAGCTGATCTTTTGCTTCAGGTGCACAAAACAATTCTTTTTGCTAAAAATACCCCAACTGAGGCATTTATGCCATTTCAAGGAAAGAAGATGAGCTGACATTGGTACAGTTACAGGAGAGATTCTAAAGTGAGTCTTTTTTTCTTTACGTAGAAAAGAGCAAAGAGCAAAGTCTTTAATTCTATGAAAATAAGAGTTTGAGTGGATGTGATTATTTCTTTTAAACATGGATATTGAAGCAAGGAAAAAAAAAAAAACAACAAACTACATTAGAATTCATGGCCACTTGTAACATGGAAAGCTTTTTGCCACAGGGCTATCAAGGTTTCAATAGCTTCTGGGTGGGTAAGCTTAGGGAAACAACCAATTTGAAGTTGGAATTTGCAGTGATTTGATTGCCTGCAGCAGCACTGCACTAGCCAACCAAGGTTCTGCATGATGTTACCATGCACCTTATTTTAGGAAGATGAATAAAAGTACATTCAGAGCAATTCACTTGAGGATGCCACGACATGATTCATTCAGTAATACAATAAATCAGAGAGCAGAACTGCTTTAAGTTTGATGACAATGAAGTAACACCCCTGCTTCCCTACTCTCCCCCACTATTTAAAGAAAACAGAAACAGATGCTTAACTAAAAGGTGGAACGTTATTTTTCTTAATCCTTCTCCTTTCCCGCTGACTTAAAATTTAAAGACCAACATGTTACCTGTTTGTCCTTCTGCTGGCTTCTGTCTCCTGATGGCCACAGTCTCCATGAATCATTATCAATAACATCAGCAAGAACAATTTCTTTGGTCAAAATATTAACACCAAATTCAATCTATAAAGACAATAAGAAGCTTCTGTAAGGAACTATAGCAATATGTTTTCCTGTCAAAATTAGGATCACGGGAAATCAGATTTTCATACCTTCAGGTCCACCAGAGTGCAGTTTTGGGGCTGCCATGATTTTTCCAGGATCTCAAAAATAGCTTGAGTAGAACGAGCCATAATATCTACTTCAGTCTTGCCAATAGTAAGTCCAGCAAAAGAGAATTTTGCTTCAATTAGCTGCTCCTCAGACCACTGTGGATCATTATTAGCATCATCCTGTTAAGGAACCAAACATAAAGCATGTAAGTTCAGTTGCTATAAGGGAAAATTAGCCATTAGAAAATAACGTTATTGCTTTAAAAAAAACAAAAAACAACTTAAATATACTCTTTACCGTTCAGCATTTTCAAAAGCACTTGGAGTTATCTACTTTATATAATTTGGCTTGTTATTCTTTGATGGCTTTGTGAGCCATTATTGTATCGATGAGAACACACGAAAACATCAGAATACCTGAACTAGTTACTCCTTAAAAGGAGGTCAGTCAGTGCAACCTCTTATCCATTAGCATTTTTAATAAGATACTACAGAGTTTTATCTCTAAGTTTGATTCTCACCACAAGAGAGCAACTTACCTTGTAAAACATCTCAATTTTAGGTGGGTAAAACTTATAGCCTTCTTTGACACCAGGGTTTCTTTTGAGGAAAGAGCCAGTAGCAATTCTTCTGCAGACCCATTCAATTGGGATCATTTCACAGTGAGCTGCTATGAAAGCGGTGTCACTCTGTTTCCTGACAAAAGCTGTTTTGATTCCTAAATAGAAGGATGGCAGCTTAGTTTCATTAGTAGGCAAATTCCACAGTTGAATCAAGAGTCACAAGGAACTAAGTTTAAGCACAACAAAATCTTGCACTTCATTGTACTTAAAGGATGAAGTGAATCTCTTTAGGGTATTTTAAGCCTAAGAAAAGGGCTTTTTCCCCCCCCCCCCCCCCCCTTGTTATATGTGCTTTTCAAAGGCTCACACTGGTTCCATTATAAAGGAAAGAAAAACTTTAACAGAATTTGTTGAACTACCACCTTTGAAGAAGTTAAGGTTAAGAAGAGTTGCGAAAAGCAAACAAACTTCTACAATAAGACATTCACGTTATCTGCAATTTATGCCCTCAAATAATCAAACCAGAATAGAAAGAATCCTGGAAATTATTTTGTTGCTTTAAAATGCAACCGGAATTTACTCTATAGTGCCAGAAGCTACCAAATAAAAGCCACTTAAAAATCTTTGAGGCACCTTCTTAGCATTTAAAACTCATACTATACCCATAGGCTATTGGATATTTAAATTATTAGGTTAATTACTGGCCATACAAACTTAGGCAAAGTATTTAACTCGCGCAACAACAACAGGCTTCCCAGGGAAGCCAGCAGCTGGAGGTTATACCAAATGACCCAATCATGCACTCCTCTTCACCAATCTGCAGAAGACCTCAGTATCTGCTAATGCTTTAAGAACTACTTGTACAGAAGTAGATGTAATTCTACAGAGGCCTTCTTTCTCTTTCTCACACATGGAACACACTAGCTGACTTTGCCGACTGACTAAAATTTATTACTTTTTATAATAGATCATACAGTTTTTACATCAGCTGGGACTGAGCAGCAAAAGGGAGGTCCAGGGCTACATTCAGACTAGGGTAGAACCTCTACCACGTGGTCAGAAGATTATGCCAAATACTCTCATGTTCCAAATGACTGGGCCACCCACCCAGCTCTGTAGTGTCAGAGACAAAAGGTGAACTGAAAATTAAGTCTGAACAAAACATATCAGAGCCTTCAGGGAGGCTAAGGAGGAGCATGGAATCTGCAGTGTTGAGTAACAACACGTGCAGCATGCAGGCATTAATTCCACCTCTGCAATACAAACCTGCTTCCTGCAGCAGCTGGAACACGCAGCTGGTGGTGGTGTTGGAGATGGCAGCCTTCCCTTCCATCCGGTCCTTCCTGGCGGCATTCCCCGCCGTTATTTGGTCCTTGGACTGCATCAGAACGCATCCCGGGATATCCGGCAGCTCATACACTTCTTTCGTTTTACCTTCATTAACTTTTTTACCAAGTTTCAGTTCTAGAGAAAAAGTAAAATTAAGAGCATTTTAGATGCGAGTTTTGGTCGCGTACGTCAGCTCGCGTGAGAGGCGCAACCAGCCCCAGCGCCATCTCCACACGCTGCCCGGGGCTGCGGGCGCTGCCTGGAGGGCTTGGTACGGCGGAAGCCCCTTTCACAACTTTTTCACCGTTTTCCAGACTCCGAAGCCCAGAAGCGCAGCTGAGCGACACGCCCCGCAGCGCTCCGACCGCGACGGCAGCGAGGCGCGGAGCTTTTCGGCTCCGGGACCGCGGGACTCACCGCCCACGCTCCGCCTCCGCTCCTCCGGGACGCGGATAGCGGCACCTCCACCTCTGGGGCGAGGGAACGAGAAACGGTTAGAAGACGGCGTCGCAAAGAGAAACTTTTCTGCAGACGGCCCAACGGGGAGCGCGGTAACGCGGTTCCGACTCCCGCTCCCACGCCCTCCTCCCCGCGACCGCCACCCCATCGGCACCCAACGGTCGCGGCGCGCGTTACCTGAGGCGGCGGGGGCCATGGCGATGACTGCGGCGGCGACGGGCACCTAGGGCACAGGAGAAGAGCTGAGCACACGCGGCCAGCCCGCGGCGGGAGTAAGAAGGGCCCGGCGGAAGGGGCGGGCAGGCGGGGCGGCGAAGCCCGCGCGCCAATCGCCGCCCAACGCGGCGGGGCCGACCCGCGCCCCTCCATCCCCACCCCCGAGCGAGCGCTGCCCCGTCCCACGCCTCGGCCAATGCCGGCTCCCCGCCGTGCCGGCGGCGGGGCGAGGGGTGGAGAGCGGAGAGGGGGCCGGGCGGGGAGCGAGGCCGGAGGCCCCCCACGCATGTAAATGAGGAGGCCGCCCGGCAGGGTACCCGCGGCTCCGCGCGGCGCGGCGCTGTTGGCTGCGCGCGGCGTCCGTAGGAGCGCGCGGGAGGGATCCGCCGGAGCGGGCCGGGCCGGGCCCCGCCGCCACGTGCCGCCATGGAGCTGGAGGAGCTGGGCATCCGCGAAGAATGCGGCGTGTTCGGCTGCATCGCCTCCGGCGTGTGGCCCACCGAACTGGACGTGCCCCATGTGATCACGCTGGGGCTGGTGGGGCTGCAGCACAGGTAAGGGGGACGCGGCCGCTCGGACGGCGCACCCTGAGGGGGGAAGTTAGCGCGGGGCCGGGCACTGGGCCGGGCCGTCCTGCCGACGGCGGAGGAGGGAACTGTGCGGCTGGGGGCCTGTCCGGCCCGGCCCGATCCCGCACCGGCCGAGCAGCCTCCCTGGGCCTCGGAGCTGCTCCCGGGCACGCTTCGGAAGCGGCATCGCCCCGGACCGGCTTTGCGCTCCTCCCGACCCTGGGCCGCGCGGGAAGGCGGCAGGGATGCGCCCGGCCCGGCCGCCCCGCGGCTGCCTTAGCGACTCCCTGCTCTGCCATGCCATGCCCGGCGTTGTGCGAGATGCTCGTGCCTAAATGCAGTCCCGCCGACCTGAATCTACAGAAACAGAACGGTTCTCGAGGAGTTTCAAGCTCCTCTTAGGCGTAACCGTTCAGATGTATCATAATAATAAAATAAAACTCGCCGTCTACCTGAGAGACATATGGCTGTGTAAAGGAAGCTGCATTCGCTGCGATTCATTGTGGAAAGTGCGACCTCCTCGTGGGAGCACCCGCACAGGCTCACACGCACATGCTGTGTCTGGCTGCTGGCTTGCGAACACCTGCACAATATTGCTTAACTTCCTCTTGCTGGACGGTAGGCAACATTCACATGCATGGCAACTCGGGAAGGCGTGCTGCTCTAAGTACACATGCACAAATTTGTTCTCTACATTTTTGAGGTCACAAACATGTAAGGGTTGCTCCGAATTTGGTTTGGATCAACAGTAGAAAATACAATCCGTTTTTCTGTTAGATCTGAGTCTCATATACATTACAGGTAAAATGCTGCACCCCTACATCACGCTTACATCCTAACAGTCTTCTTTGGGTTGCAGGTGTATCATTTGTGAACTATACATGTTTGTCAGTGTCCATCAAAATCATTTTTATTGGGAATGATAAAGCTGCAGAATGCAAGGAATGAAGCCAGCAGCTGGAGGTTATACCGATATATACTGTGATCAGTGGCCTCATTTTTGGTTGAGCCATTTTTCTGTAAAGAGCCTGGAAAAACATCCTAGTTCATTTATGCTTATAGTCACACTGCTGGACATGGATGAATTTTCTTAGTTGGAAATAAAACGATGTATTTTCATCACTTTGCAACGTACTCTCTCAATGTTTACTACAACCATGTTTCACAATTTTCAAAAAATAGTTTTTTTCCTCTCTTTTTCTAATGGATACTTGACAGTTCTATTTGATTTCCATGAGCTCTTTAATATCAAATATCTCCTGTGGCATCTTATATGATAGTAATACTAATGTTGTGGCTGAAGCTGTAAGCAGTTTGCAAGTTATACAAAACTACAGAATAAAGGCATACAGACCCTGCCTCTGATTCTGATCTCTTAACTCAATATAAGTCAAAGATTTTAAAGGCTGCTTTCTTGGAGACATAAATTTTGATGCATATGTAAAAGGAAACTTGCTTACTTTCACTGTAAAGTGAAAGTCCATGCAACTTGTTACACGTTTGCAAGCAGTCAATAGAAGTGTTGTATAGCTGAGATGTTAATTTTCCCCTTTCCTTCTTTACCATTTCTGTTCATCCTCTCTGTATTTCTCCTTAGCATTCTGCTGTGAGGTGTAGCAAAAGGTTCCATCCCCTTTCCAGAGATAATAGGGTACCAAATTTGTTCTTACTTCTTTTTGGAACACTTCTTGAAAACCAAGAATCAGATATATAGCATTAACTGCATTGGTAAAATCTGTTAAGACTGTTCTTTTAAACTGAAAAGCTAAGAAGTGTCTCTTAGCCATATTCCTTTTGAGGGGGTTAAATATGAAAGGGATGCGGTAAATATTAATGGATAGTCCTAACCATGCCCTCAGCAACTAATAGCTTTCATTGTCCAATGGAACATATAGTCTTCAGGCCTCACATTGAAATTAGTGGGGATGTGTAGGTAGTGACTACTGGCTTGAGATGGGTGCGGTCACAATTCTTCTACATTGCTGATTATTCCTGTGCTATACATGTCAGAAATTGTCCTTTAATTCATCTTGGATTTTAAAAATTAGGATCTTCAGGCATTCTTGAGATGACCCACAAAAAAAGAGAAAGCTATTGGGAAGTCGTTATAATTTCTGGTCTTTGAAATCATATCTGTATGCGTAGAGTTTTTGTTACATGACACAAGAACACATGGCATGAATTCTTTGTGCTTAATGTCCTGATACAGTTGTTTTCAGCAATGTGAAGGGCTTTGCTTTTTGTGCTAAGTGGCCTAAAATGAGGTGAGATTTTTACAGTGTTAGAAAGATAGTCAGACACTGGAGAGATTTAGTTCAGTGAGGATCTTTACAACTGAAAACTTAAAACTCAGTACACTGGATTGCTCCAGGAAAATATTTTAGCATGAGTTCAAATGCATGTATTTGAATGGTGCTCTTTCTACCACTGAAACTCATTTGCATGAAGTCAGGTATATGTGTCAGCTGGGTTCTGCAGTGAGCCCACAAGCAGGCACAACATGAAAGACAGACTTGGGATCTCACTGCATTGACATGAGCAACAACTTCTAAGTTTCTTGTTTGTTTGTTTGTTTGTTTTTCCTCTCTAATGAAAAAACAGCTGCCTGAATTTGGAGCTTAAATTTGCACTTCTTTAAAGCAGAAGGCAGTATATGGCTTTTTATTGGCTTTATAGTCATGTACTGTGAACTGAAACAAAAACTGAGTGTATTCCTACTTGCACACTAATCAAGGCCTTCCCTGCACTAAGAACACAGTCCCAATTTAACTTCAAACCATTTTTAAGCGATTTTCATCTGATCTTGGCACATTCTATAGCTGCGTTAGCAGTGAATTCTCATTAAACACAAAACTTTAAGGCTATTGAAGTTAAAACTGTTACTTTGGATTTAACACTAAGAAAACTTAAAAACAGGTATTCTAAGTCATCTTTATGAAAAGTAAGCTAGAGAACAAAGTCACTGTAAAATCGACAGCGTGCCAAAGTCAAGTTAAAGCATATTGGTAAGGAGAAGATTTTCTTGGGGGCAGTGAGAGAGGGAGGAGGAGTACTTTGAGTTGCAAATCTATTAAACGTCATTGAAGTCCTTGACCAGGACAAATTTGCAACATTAATCTTGGAACAAGTGTGATTTCTGTTAACTTTTTGCAAAATTCTCTGGGAAATATTTTTGGCAGTAATGCCATATACCGAAACTGATTTTTTAACAAAGTCTTTGAAAGTCCTCTTCTGTGCCAGGTGGAAGCCTGGTTAAATAAGGGAATCCTGCCTATCCCAGTTCAGCTGGGTCTGTGTATGGGATTTGTTAGGAGAATGAAAGTAAATGGAGAAGAAGCCATGCTTTTCTAATACCTTCCCTCTTACTGTCCACTATTAAAACTCACGCAGCATTGCCAAAACAATCTCCATTTTATGTTTAGAATTTTTACTTCATTTTCTCTCCTGTGGAATTACTTCTTGCCTCCAATTAGCCACTCTTTCTAATATCTGTAATCAGTATAGCATATTAAATATCATTATCTACCTTTTCTATGCATCCTGTTCACTGCAAGATGGATTTTTAAAGGCTTTTTAGCAAGCTACTGGTATCCTATCTTACACTGTGAGTCTTACTGGAGCAAATTGGACTCAGCAGTATTTGAGTGGGAATTTTCTGAGGAGCATGGATGTGTTACAGGTAGTGATCCTTATAATTTGCTATGTAGTATATTTAACTTAAGCACATCCTCCATCCTAAGAGGTGAAAGTAGTATTGTTAATGTTTTAATTGTCTAAATGCCAGGTTTTTTTAATTAATCATATTTCTATATACATTACCTGTGGAATATGCTGGGAAAGATATTTGTCTAGTAATTATTTGACCCTTTGTGATATTTTACAGCAAATTTACGCTGCATGTGCTGGTTAAGCATTCCTGAGTACTTTCAGAGACACATACTGCATGTAGATGTACTAACACTTCATCTTCAGTTAAGATTGGTGTAAGTTTATAGGCCATTCTGTGCTGCTAGATGTGGACAATTATATGTTCCAACCCTCACTACTGCAGGAAGAGGAGAATGGAGACCTTTGGGTGTGGTGAGCTGTTGCTCTGCTCTGCTTTTGTATAACTTCCTGCTTGCTGATTTCCGGAAAGTGAAGGCAGGTTTATGTTGTAAGTTAAAATCACTGAAATCTAATGCTCATTTCACAAAATGCAGCTCAGCCTTAGGTCTTATTTCTGGATGTAGAGTAAGCAATTGGAATGAAATAACATAAGTAGTGGGAAAAACAGGAGGGAAGTGGTGCTGAAATGTTTATTAAATGAAGATCTTTCAGAACAGCTGTTATGTTCATTGTGGCCAATGGAATTTAATTCCATCACGTTAACCTAGCCATGGAGTGAGAGTGAAACTGTTAATTTTTCTTCTCGTTGACTTTAGTTAAGTCATCCATGCAGGTGTGATACAGCTTTCCAGTTCTTTTCACAGGATTGCTCTTGGTTGGCTTGACTTCCCATACTTCACAATAGAGCCTGATGCATGGAGGGAGGCTTGTACATGACACAGGAGGTTTGGGTAAAACAGACTATCTTGGCTGCTCTTTCTGACATGTCTTGCATTCCTGTTCTTGATCTTAAAGGGGAAAAAAAGCAGCAGCAACAACAACAAAACCAGCAACACAGAGTTGTTTGGAGGGGCTTTTTATCAGATTAGAACTTGTGGTTGGACAACTCGCTTGAGCACGAGTGCTTGTACCAGCACAAAGATTACTTTGCTGCAGAAGAAAGTGGGAGTCTGGAGGAGAGCGCCTTTTAAGCAACAATGGTGATTGTGGATCCACCCAGAAAGCAAGTACTTCTGCTCAGTGAAGCCCATTCTCCGTGCATTTGTCCCAGATGTAGTTTGGTCTACCAGGAAATCTAAATGGGGCATTCCTTGCAGTGTAATAGCCCTATCAAAGGCACATAAAGTGAGCCATTCATATCAGAATAAGTGTGTTTTAGAGGTGAACTGAACACTTAATATAGATCAGAGAGGTGATTGTGATGTTTATCTGCTATACCTCAAAAAAATCAATATCCTCATTTGAAGAAGGCAGTGGGGTGTCCTCACTGCAGCCTGAAGGGAGCCTACAAACAGGAGGGGAATCAACTCCTTGAAAGGGTAGATAACAGCAGGACAAGGGGAAATGGTTTTAAGTTGAGGGAGGGAAGATTTAGGTTGGATGTCAGGGGGAAGTTCTTTACAGAGAGAGTGGTGAGAGTTCTTTACAGAGAGAGGTTGTGGATGTCCCATCCCTGGAGGTTGTCAAAGCCAGGTTGGATGGGGCCCTGGGCAGCCTGGTCTAGTATTAAGTGGGGAGGTTGGTGGCCCTGCATGTGGCAGGGGCGTTGGAAACTCATGATCCTTGAGGTCCATTCCAACCCTGGCCATTCTGTGATTTGCAAACCGGGGAAGAAACGGATTTGTCCTTATGCTATTCTGAATGGTCCTCTGGCAAAAGCATGGATATTTGAGAAGGGAGAAGAGCAAAGATCTCTGTTTTTTTATAGGTTTGCTGTTACTCCCATCATTTCTTTGATGTTGGTTTTGATTTTTCAACTGGATCATTTCTATGAAGTAGTTTATATTAGATTGTCAGAGCAGTTATATGTGAACAACTTGGTCTGGCCATGCTGCTGAACAGGAACCATACTGCGGTTCCTAAGAGCGTGATTCTAAGCAGCTGTACTTCCCAAGCCCTTTCAGTTTTCCTGCAGTGCTCTCACACCTAACATTTAGCATGTGTCAGTACCCCAGGTTCCATTCAACTTGTTTGTAAGTGTGCCTAGACTACATATTGTGTGACTATTATAAGTTTAAAGCAGAGCAGAGCCACAGCACAAGCTCAAGTGGATGTAAAAATACTCTCAAAGGATGAGAATATTGGCCTAAGTAATTGCTAATTTCAAGGGACTTTTTTTGAGAAATCCTTCATTTTGGTGATACTTGATTTGGCCCATTGTCACTACCCTTGGTGATGCTGTCTAAAGGTGACAGACCATAGCTCTACACAACTGGAATTCTAAGTGGAACATTCATGTTATTTTGTCTCTAACCAAAAAATGATGTTGAATCATAACCACAGCTGCAATGAAGAAGGACTTTCCTTACACCACTTGGATTTATCTGTCTAATCTTCCTATATATTCAGGTTAATTGTAACAAGTAAGTGGGAGTAGCAAGAAAATATTAGATGATGCCAAATGGCCCTATACATTTGATCTCATGCCACTACTGACTGAGAATAAATGTGAAAAGAATGATAAAGAGTGTTAAAACAATTTTAGAAAATAAGCTATGTTTTGTAGTCACAAAGCAGAATACACAAAAGCAGATCCACCTTTGCACATTTGTTTGTTAGGTAAATCCTGCTCTATGGCACGTGCAGACATGTTTTCTGAGGGGAAAAAAAACAACACCTTTTTGTTAGAAAGCCATGTGCTCTTTTTTTTTTTCTTTTTTTCCTGTCAGTTCTTGCTTTGTGTCTACCCTCTAGTGCTGATATGAAAATTTCCATATGTAGATTCCAAATGCATTCTCCAATACCTGCTCTGAGCTGCTGAGAATTCGGACAGTCATTTGCCTCCGTGCTTTTGTGCAGTTCTTACCTGAACAGTACCATTTAAATACTTGTTTCTTGAAAGATCTGCTTATTTTAATGAATAAAATAAATGTATTTTTTATTTTCTGGGAGAGGAAAAAAGTTTTTAGGGTGCAGGTGGGGTTGTTGTACTGAATGATAGCAAAGCTCTGGAAGGATTGCAATCCTCAGAGTGCATTACTCAGAATTTTAAGTGAAGTTTGTCTTCTTTGTCATACAGCCTTCCTAGCGTCGCCCTTCTGTGAGGACAGACACAGTGTGACAAATCTAACATTTGAGCTGCTCCAAGTTAGGGCTAGCACTGTTGAGAACTTGCTGGGCTGCTTCTGTTCACTACCTACACAGAATATAGTTTGTTTTTTCTTTTTTTTTTCATCTGGGCTGTATTAGCAAACTGAACTGATTTATACGGGATCCAGAAAGAATAAAGAGTGAATCTTGTTGCAGTGAGTTATCAAATCAGCTTCAGTTTGTTTATGCAGCGTTAGCCTTGCACTCGTGGAATGGTATAATTATCATAAAAATATCTGACTTGCTAACATGGTCATATTTGATGGGTTGAAATGTTAAGTGTAGATGTTTTATTTGATCAGAGTGGTAGTATTTGCTTTCAGTTAAGCCTGTTATTTGTGTCATGTAGGTGAGCTAAGGCATACAGGGAGAAGTTATATCTTTTATTAGACTGATGCTACTTCTAAAATCTCATTGTTAAGGATTGTAATTGAAACTCATACCTTTTTCAATTTAAATAACTGAAGGTGAAAAAAATCAAAAGGGAGCAACCATGTACTCATGTGGGTGACCTTCTCTCACAAAAAAAGTCTGTTTAACTTCTTACCATCCGAGAGAATTTTTTGCATGCTAATTTGGTAGAAAGTTCATTAAACCAACCTGTTGCTTGGCTGAAGGATGTGCATACAGCTGTGTTCTGTTGAGGTCTTGCATTTCTTCCTGCTTACAAAGCCTTTCTAATAGTAACTTTTTGCCTTCTGCTACTGTGTTCACTCTCTCTGTAAATAGTTTTTGAAACTGGAATATGGTGTTTTCAGAAGCACTTTTCTTAAGTGGAATGGGTGACATCTCTGTGGACAAAAGCAAAGTATTTTAGTTAGAGTGCACAAGTCAATGAAACGCTGACTCTGAAGTTTAGCACATGCTAGATTTTCCTAATACTGGCCTTGGAGTACCCTCTTTTGGCAAGCAATACTTAATGTTGCATAACGGGACACTGTATAATGACTGGTAGGAAAGCAGTAGACCTTGTGAAAATCACTGTGTTGCTCACATGTATTTGAAAATTTTAGTTTTACCTATTGCCTTCTACAAGACATAGTTATCTAGGTGACAATAAATGAAAGTGTATTTAATCACATAAAATTAGTCTTTTTGGGGTAGTTTGTAACAGTGCACTGAGCAGCTTGAATTCAAAAATTTTGTAGTGTTTGGACCTGTTTGTGTTCATTTGCCTGCAGACAGACATTAAGGGGGAACCTCCCAAAAACTAGCTTTCTTATTCCTCATTGTTGGAGTTTTTGATCATTTAGGGCTTGCCAATTTTGGCAGGAATGAAAATAGCTCCTCTACTTTCCTATATCAAATTGCATATCATATATTTTTGTCCATCCCTTCATTTTTCTCTCACAGTAATTCTATAACATATTTCTTTGAGAATAGGTGTCTTAAATCGTTTTTTTCTTGTGCAGTTTTAGGCACAAAATTTCTCATTTACTCACTACACAGTATAATATAAAGAAACCACAACCATGACTGTGACCATGACATCATTATTTTCCTCTGAGCAGCACAGGTTATTAAAACAGCTTCCTCTTTTTAATTTTTTTTTTCCTTACATTTAATTTTTTTAAATCAGAGAATTACTTCCTGATGTTTTCCTCATTTTTATCACAGATGAGGTCTCAAAGGAATTGCACTTTTTCCCTCTGGTTCACATTTTAATCTGAAGTTTTCTTTTTACAGATTGTTGGTGGTACAAGAAGAATGTTAGTTTGGGGGTTGGTATTAAGTTCTAGGTTTGTTTTTTTTTCTTAAGTGTAAACTAGTATATGGCTTACAATTAACAGTAATGTATAGGTGCTTTAAAAAGTCAGAGGCTCTTACCATCATTCCATGTTTTTCTCTTGATACCCAAGGATCCTGCATTTGCTGTAACATCTCCCACTGAAACTTAAGAGAGAAGCAAGTTAACTTAAGTATTTTGCGGAGATTCTAAAAGCATAGTCACAAACCAAAATGCCTTAATACTGTGAAAGCAAATGCACTGCAATGAGTGACTTGGAGCAATAGGAGTCTCCTAGAAAAGTCAGGCACTGGACTGGCAAACAAAATGAAGGTAGAGACGTGTGTTTGCTTGGCAGATGCCTTAGCAAAGCTAATAATTAAAGCATCTTTTATGAATGGCTGTTGTTTTCCTTTATTCAGCAGCAGTATTCACAGCACAGGTTACACAACCCTTTTCTAGCATAACAAAATATAAAGCAACCAGTTTGGCTCAAATATTTTTGGTGCTGAAAAATTCTATTTAAAAAGACTAGAAATGAGTGATACTATCTGCATTTTCTACATTTGGAAGAAAATGAAAGCTTTAAGAATATCATTTAGAGTAAGAACAAGGGAGCTGGGAAAGTGTCATCTCATAACTGTGTGGACTTAATTCTAGCTACAACTGATGGCACTACAAGATGGTGCCACTGGACACCTCACTAGGGCTCAGACTCATGAGTGAGCACAGCTTACTTAAGGATGTAAGTAAGGGTGGCTTCAGCCACAGCTTTCTACTCAAGCTGTCCTTGTGACCTCTGCTACCAAACTGGTTCAAGTCCTCAAATAATATTTGCAACATTGCAAATTATTGCCTAATACGTTGACAAAAATCATAGTTTACCATAATTCATTGAGCTCTAAGATGCTTTGCAAAGTTGCTTCTATATGATCTGATCTACCTGACTGCTTTGACTCTCAGGGGCACCTGCCTCTGCTCCAGGCAGGTAATAATTACAAGTGCTGAAATATGTATCAAAATATGTATCACAGCCTTGGATTTTTTTCTCTCCTGGCTGTGAATTGAATTAATGAAGTTTGTATGTTTGGAGCCCTTGCACTTGGTATCAGCTTGCAGCTCTCTATCCATAAGTGCTTTACATGCCTCTTGGATCACCTCTGAAATCTGCCATATTTTTCTAGCACCATTTCACTGTATGTCACTTAAGATTCCCTAAGCACAAAGTCTCTCCAGTAACATTGAATACTTCATGTGTTTGTACATTTTTGGTAATTTTCTTAATTCTAAACTCCTCCAGAGAGCCACCGCTATTCTTTGAGTATTGCCTATTTGACTGTGCACAGAATCAAATAATCAGAGTATCATAGAATATCCTGAGCTGGAGAACACCCACAAAGATCATCAAGTCCAGATACATGCTCTTTAGTTATTTTCCCTCCTCATTATGACCATGTACTTCACCCCTAGAACACGTGTCAAACAAGCAACTTTTAATATTCTGTGTAATTGCTTTCTCTCATTATGGAAGTTTTTAGTACCTGACAGGAGGCTTGAACTTTCACATCCCCAGCCTGATGGACCTAGAGGCTGTCTTCTTAAGATACAGTCAACTTCATCATAAAATCTCATTTTCCTCCTGGGATTACCAAGATGTTCATTTTCTTTCTGCAGTGCACGATATTCATATTTTAGGTTCTTGTACTTGGTGCGACATTGTTTCCAGTCTCTGTCTATTCCACATTTCATTAACCTTCTGGCAATTTCCTCAAATATTTCTTTATTTCTTGTTGCCCCTTCAAGCATTTGCTGTATCTTTTCATCTGACCATATATTTATCAGAGCTCTGACTTCATTGTCACTCCAGTGCTTTCCTGCTCCAGTATCATTAACTGTGATAACTTTAAAGTGATTTTGTGCTTCTTCCAAGGGGATATGATTATCTGAAAATATAATGAAGCAACCGGATACTGCTGAGTTATACACACATTGAAGTGTAATTGTAATTAATGGTTAAGTGACAGCTGAAGGATTAATTAACATTTATAATAATTGTCTGGTTGCAAAAATCTTTTAGTTTTGCAGTATTAATATCCAGATGCGATTACAGTTCTTCCTAGATTTCAGTGCAAGATATATATATATATAATCTATATATATATAGATCTAGTGCAAGGTATATATATATAACATCCTGTCCTTGGTAATCATAAAAAATTCAACATTTTTTCTCTTTCAATTTTATTGCTGTTGTCAAACTAAAGACAGATGTATCTGAGTGCTATGTGCAGGACACCAATAGATTTAAAGCTTCAAAAGCAACAATTTATCAGCAGTTGTAGGAAATTGGTTTTCCAGTGTTTTGTCAAATTAGAGTGGCAAGAAGAAGTATTACTCAAATGACAGTGCTTCTAGGGATTGAATACAAGAAAAAAACATCTATATGGATATTTAGAAGAAAGCAGATGGTGTTTATACAATAAATACAAAGCGCCACTAAAATATTAATTCAAGTTTTACTAATGACAGAGAATAATTATAAGAAACTAAACTTTGGGTGTAGTGCAAAGACTAGACAACAGACAAAAGCAAATAAAGTAAAGTAGCGTTTATGGTAAAGATTTGATCGATTGACCCAGCTTTGGTCCTGAAATTACAATGCGACTTTGTTTCAGAGTAAATGCATGGAAATCAATACTCACCTGTCCCAACTATCTGTTTTGCTAGCGGCGTACATGATCTGTCTTCTGAGGTAGAGCTTATAGAATCATCATCTATAGAAACACACAGGTTTAAAGAAAGTGGACATAGGCAAATTAATCACAGGGATTATTGTCATTTTCTGCAGGTAACACCTGTCTTAATTAAAAATGTCATAACCCATTAGTCTTAGAGGGCTTTAATAAGTCTTTTGCTATATGCCTCCCTAAATCAAATTATCTGTTAGCATATCTCATAAGCCTTATCTTTGTTTCTGCTGCTGTGTTCCCCAAAAGGTAGCTGTGGATGCTGCACACAAGTTTAAATACTTAATTAAATGTGTAGGCGTACATCAATGGTTTGTATCTCTCATATAGGTCGATTTGCATAACATGTTTCTGCACATTCACTGGCACAGGTGTGCCACCCATTTTGGGTGCCATTTGCAGATTCACTCATACTAGTAGGGATCAAACTTCTTGAAAATTATAATCAGAAATTACATTCTTTTTTTTTTTTAAAAAAGTGTGTGTGGTTAACTTGGGATGACAACAAGAAAAATTGTTTCATAAACATCTATTTCATGACTAGGCACCCCATAATTCTTCAGAAAATTCTTGCATTTTCAGCTGTTGGAAATACAGCCTTGAACCAAAAGGCAGCACTAGCACACCTGGTCTAGAGGTACATATCCCTGCCTGTAGCAGGGGGATTGGAATTAGATGATTTTAAATGCCCCTTTCAACCCAAAACATTCTATGATTCTATTCCTGGGCTCTTGAGTGATTATTATTATTTTCTTTTTTAAACTGTGACCCAGGAAAGATGGCTTTGCTTTCGTGTTCTCTCAACCGTGCACTCTAATCTCATTGTGCATTTGTGTACTTCTGACCTAAGTGATTGCTATCTTCAATGGTTATTATGTGACAAGAAAAGGGAATTGGTGCAACTGAAGCAATCATTTGTATTCTGTTTCACTGTGCATGAACTCTTCTCTTTGCATTCGGGTGGCCTTGCTATGCCCCTGAACTTTCAGGGACACGGTCTTACTTTATCCTTAATGTAATTTGCGTTTTCAGTGTCATTGCTGTGATGGCATTGCTCTGGTGTTGTCCTCAGTGTCATATTCCTTACAGTTATGTAAACAGTTGTAAAAGCTGTGCTGAACAGGAGGTCTGAACAACCAATTTCAGATAACGTAATTGCCAAGGACAGCTCCTTGCCTGGATTGCAGAAATACTGATGCATACAATGGAAATATTCTTTCAGTCTAAGAGGGCAAAGAATTTTCATTCCAAAAATCACTGCATTGAGTTTTTTTATTCATTCGTTTAAATTCTGGATATAAACAGTAATACTGTAAAAGTAGGATTTGATTCAGGATGTCAGGATAGTAGATTTCAATGTCATTGCTATTTTTCTCTAATGCCTTTCTTCCGTGACCATCCATAGCTTCTATGTTCAGTTATTCCAGAAGGTTAATATCCCACGTGTACTCTGATGTCAATTTTAAGTGGTTTTAATATATTTCCCAAATACGTGTTGTTGAATGTATTCAACTCTGATTTCAGTTTTAGAGGTAAGATAACACAGAATATTTATGCAAACTGTTGGATAGTGAACAGTCTCAAATTTAATGGACTGTCTTGAAATAGTTGGAAAAGACAGACAAGGCATAAAACGTTTAGTGTTTAGCTATTTAGTCGTCCAGGTCACCCTCTAATAGCTGTGAAGAAAAAAAAAAACAAACCTGTATTTGTGTCACAAACAAGCACATATTTATCACATGTAGCATAAGAAGTATGTTGTCAGGTGAAATACAATCTTTTTTTAATGGATGAAAGGAGAGGTAACTGTTTATGCATTTTTTTCACTAGGAAATTAAACAAGAACAGGTTTTATCATAACCTAGAAGTAGAATGAGTATAAGTAGGAGTAACATGAATCTTAGGGATCTACAGCTCCCATTAAAGTAGAACTGTTATAAATATCAGGACACGGTCTTCACTTACCTATATCAATTGTCTCCTTCTTTATTTGTGTAGCTTCCAGAGCTGCCAGGGTGGAATTGCTGAAGTCCTCCTCATCTTCAAGGATTTCTGCAACAGAGATTTAGAGTTCTCATTAACTAAACAGTCCTTAAGATATGGCTCTAGGACCACCAACTTGACAGTGTCTGTAATGATTACTATTGCTAGAGATTTCATCTCTTAATTTAAGACTGTCACTTCTTGACAATGCTGGGCTTAAAAGCCTAGTGTAAGCAATTATAAAATAACTCCAGAATACCACGTGACAACTTGTCAGGTAAGTTTATGGATGAAATGTGCAAACTCTTAAGTTAGTAAAAGCTGGATCAGAATGTTTAGAATTGTTCTCTGATCGTGGTTGTAAATAACATAGTAGCTGATAAACCTGCATGCAGCAGAACAGGCAAGACAGTGACTTTTGTAGGGGGTGTTTCAGTACCCACTGAAATTTGAAAGACTCCCAGGTGAGTGATGCCAAGAGTCACTGAATTAGCCTCAGCTGGAGCAAGGGTCCTTTCATTGACATAAGTGTGCTCTGCCTGGATAACTGATCTGCAGGACTGATTGCTTGCTTGATAGAGACAAAGTATTACATTCCTGTCCTCAGAACATCCCCCCCTGCTGCAGCTGTGGCAGCGCTTACCTCACACTGTTGGGGCCCAGGCTCTGGGCACACTGACAATGGGTCCATGGGCTCTCCTCCACGGGGAGGAGAGCTCTGCACCTCTGTCATTGGTTCTGCCTTGTTTAATGGGGAACTCCACCCCTGTGCCCTCAGACAAATTGGCAGATGATGCAAGTGGTCTCTCCAATCATCATTTCTAGGTGAGGAAACTGGTATACAAAGATTACATGCTGAAGGCCACACTGCAGATCAATGACAGCAGCTGCTGACTCCCAGCCTCAGTCCATTCAAGAATATTGCCCGCAAACATTGAGCAATAGCACACGATCTATAGTCATTTTATTAAAAATTACCCCCTGAATCAATACAGACTTGTTTGCATCAGACATTCTTTATGATGTGACCAGCATCATGTGCTTTTCTTTCTTTCTTTTTTCTTTTGAGCCAAGAATGTGTGGGTAGATAGCCTGCCTTTTTTTTCTGAACCATTTGCCTGAGTTTTTGGGGGAGGGCATGAGGAGAGCGTGGCTGAGCCAAACAGAGCAAACCGTCATTGGTTTCTGACATTTATAAAAGATACTGGCTCCATCCACGTTGTTTTGTCAAGCTATAAATGACTGCCAGCAAACGTGCTTAATCTCTACTTTGTATTTGGAGCACTGCTCACAAAGCCACCTGAGCAATACTGTAGCAGTCTTCTCCCATTTACTTCTTCAGACTGATAGCAAGCTATGTTCTCTTTCAGTACTGTGCTCACTATTGCTATTTATCCTGTGTTCTGGCTCACTAAGCAAGATTAGTAATGTATCTTAATCCTTACCCTCATCTGTGTCATTTATGATACAAAAGTGCACCTACTTCATACCAGCCTAAGACATATGCATTAAAACATTCTCTTTTGACTAAACATTTAAAAATTCTACTCACAGGCAATATTCAAGAGAAGCCAACATAAATTCCTTGAGTATGTTCTGACTTAAGACCTTAACTTTAAACAACCATTTCAAATAATTTTCTTAAAAATGTACGATGGCAGTGTCACAACTTATCACAAATTTGTCCTTAGAGAGACATATAGTAACATAAGCAGCACAAAGAAAAACAAAAATAATGACAAGAGAAGTAATTTGTTGGAAACAAAACGCATAGATGTTTTTGCATCAGTCTGCTGGCATTCCTTAGAGGCTTGTCTTTATTTTCACTGTTGTTTCCTGTGTTACTTTAGATTTAATCAGATACCTGTACACAGTCTGTGGTCACGCTGCAAGTAACGTGTTTGGAATGTGTGCTTACACATGCAGACTTTGAATTGGCTCTTCTAAATAGATTTCTGGAATTAGCTGCCCTTAAAGGCAATCTCATGTTTTATGAAACAGAAATAAAAGTGACTACATTGGTTTTATTTCCAGATTGACTTAATATGGATAACTGTTATTAGGATAGGAAAAAGTTTACAGTGACCCTGGGTTTTCTTTGCCTGTTTTTGACTGGAGAATGGTTCTGTGATTGATACAAGGCTCTGGTGCACTCTGCTGGCCAGTCACCTCAAGCACAATGGATCGAGAGACTGCAGTACAGTTGCAGTCTGTCAAAGAATGTATAAGGATTTATTTACCTCTATCTACTCCTTCCCAAGTGGACATTTGCTACTCTTTAAGTGGCAAATACATTTGTGCAGTTGTGAAAAAATAATGAAACATCAAATAACTGAGCACTTGCCTCAGACTGGTGGGTTTGTCTTTTGACTAACACTGTCTCAATCTTCTTCCTTGCTGGAACCTGGCATACCTGACTGGACTGTTCATAATGATTGGCAGTGGATGATAATGTCACTATAGTTTTTAACTCAGATGCACACATAAGACCATTAGAAGTACATGCACTGCAGAGGAATCTTATACACCTCTGCACTTTTATGCTACTGCAGTTTCCAGAAAGCAGAAGTCTCTAGTTCATAGAAACAAACATGCACTTAATTCCACTTGCTGTTTCTATGTACAAATTTGGAAGATGCCCCAGCATGAAAATGCAGAGCAAGGTTAATTGAATTTCTAAATTCATATTTATGACCATTTATTTATTTATTTTACGATTATTTAAAAGAAAAATAAATAAATGTATATATATAGATTAGAATCATAAACTTGTTGAGGTTTTCTGTGGAAGTTCTGCTGTAATAGGTAACAGAGATCACATCCTAAACGCTATGGATTGCCAGAATTCTGTTGATACTGAAGAACCCCTGTAACATGGTATCCCTGCTGCTGCTTGCCTTTTTGTGAATACAAAGCTACATACTCTTTATTTAAGTTTCTCACTCTAAATTCACTTGAATTATCAAGGAAAGGCTAGTATCAAAACTAGAAAATAGAGTGCCCACAGTATTGAAGTAAGAAGCAAACTTCTGTTCTCTGCTTTATATAGTGCTGTATAACCAAGATGTTATAATTGCAATATAATCAAAAGAGTAAGGCAAAGCAAACAGGGATCACAAAAGAGAATAAGTAGAAGAGCTTACCCTTGGGTTGAGCTCACTAGAAGATATCAAAGAGGAGGATCTCCAGAAGAGATCCTTCCCCTCTGGTAGCCAGCTCTTAAATAGGTCCAGGAGGGGTGGAGCCTGGCTCCACCCCTTCCTGTAGCACAGGTGAATTGCCTTCACCTGTGCTCCTCTGGCTGACTCATGGCTCACCTCAGGTGATCAATCAGAGGTTCAGGCCGTGACTCAGCAGTTGCCATACAAGTGCCTAATGGTTGTACCATAAATAACATTAAAGATGAAGTAGTTTTTACCATCTGTGATAAAATAATTGGATCCTGTATTGTTCATTTGGGAATGGAGAAAAGGATTTTGGAAACTGAAACGGCATCTTATCAAGAGTGGATCCTGTTTTTTGCCTGTTTTTCCCCACAGAAGTTGGAACAATAGTCTTCAGAGTGAATAGGCTAATCTAGAGAAACATGTGATATACTTGCAATTTTATTTTTTGCCTACAAAATGAGATTTTACAAATCGCAATTGCAATTACCCAGAAACAAAGAAAAAATGCCATTAAAGTACATATATTTGAAAAGGGAAATGGTAACTATGGTAAGCTGTAGCTGCCAAACTACTACACGTATCCTAATGGAATGTTAAAAAGTTAAAAATGAGTGCTCAGAACTGTCCTGGAAATATACAGTTAACTTTCCTTTAACTGGTTCAGAAGCTTGCGATCCAAGAAGGTTACAATATTAACATAGCAAGCATTTGAAAAAAAAAACTAAGCCTTAGGACAGTTTAGTAGCACTGCTGAGTCTGTGTATTATTACAATGTGGTGATTTTACCTGTTTATGGGGGAAAATGGAGTTTGATGCATTTTACAAGTTGTCTTGAGTAGATCTCACTGAATAGCGGTTATGATTTCTTATATATTTTGTCTCTTTAGAAAATGTACTTTCTGTGACAACCTGTTTTTTCCCTAATGAATGCCTGAGGTGTCTGTGGTAATCCGGTAAAAGGCTAGTTGTATATTTCTTCGTGAGTAAACATAAATTAATAAATCTAATTACATTTGAGCAGTGAAGCAAGAATGCTGATGCCCAGAATACTTCAAATTACATTTTATCATCAACTATCTCTTTACTTGTCATAGCTGTTTCTTTCCTTACATGAAAAGCTGCCAGATTCTCTGGAGAAGTATTTACAGTAACATCATCTGACAGAAGATTTTTAATTTGACATTAAAACCTTTCAAGTTCACTTTAGACCATTTTAAATTGTATTAGAGTACTGCTTAACACCTTATTTATGTGCACATTCTATGTTGTGCTACTGAAGGAGACCATTAGGTCCTCTCTGCCAAGGAAAGACGCACCCTTCAGCCTTCCAGACTTTCATACATGCCTTTAGCTCAGTGCTGAACTCCCACTTCCCCCAGAAGTTATGCTTTCAGAAGTAAGCTGTAATGTTTCTTTGTAAAGAGCGTATGACTTTCGTTTTCAGTGGCCACCACAAGCTAGAAAGTGATATCTGAAAATGAAATTCTCACCGCCGGCATGGGTGTTGACAGAATTCTGTTAAATACTGACCAAATCATGTTGTGAAATTGAGAACACTGTATTAGACTATGCACAGGAGATGGATAATTATGTGCCTTGAGGATATACTGCTTAAACAAATGTAGTAATATTATACTCAACTTCCTTAAATCTATGGCTTCTTCTTTATTTTGTGGTCCCTAAATCTTCAAAAGGGTTATTTAAATAGACTGGTTTTGTCAAATTCAGCATAGCATCGTAAATGTGCACGTGTGCCTGTAATTATTAGAAGTATGGTTATTATTGTGATATCTTTTGTTTTGAAGACCTCTACATTTTCTGACTGTTGTTGCAGTGCACGCTTCTTTTAGAAATCCATCCAAGGTTACTAAATGTAAGAATTTATATAAAAAAAGCAGACTTTTCAGTTTACCTGAATCAGAAACTTTCTTTACATCTGCAACCTGTAGGTCTTCAGACAAATTACTAACAGAGTCCTCTTCACCTGTGTCTCCAGGTATTTCTGTGTAAATAATGCAGTGTTAATTAGGGCATTGCATTTGTGTTCCACAGAAGAACAGCTGTGCTGTGTCAAGTCAAATGAGCCATCCAACCTATTGATTCCCTTTATGCCAGCAGTCATTAGTAGATACATAAACAAAGAATTTAGAAACTGCAACTGAAGAGTGAAACTTCTCCCAAAATGCTCTTATAGTTTTTATCAGACTATCCACTCATCTTTGCATTACGTTTTTCTTCATTGACTTCTTCCATTAAGCTAGACTTATATTTTTGGCCATAAAGTCGTCCACCATGTAGGATCATTACTGTGTAATAAATGACTTTAATTTTAATTTTGTTTTTAAACAACATGCCTCTACGTGGATGTATACACATAAGAAAAATAATTTAACTCTCATGCACTGTAGGTTCATTGGTCTTTTCTATTTCTGCATTAGTCCATTCAGTATGAAGTTATCCATCAATAAGCACACAAAAACAAGTAACTGCCAGGATTCTTTACACCAGTCATTCTGCTATTTTTACAATAGTTGTCTCACTAGTTGGGGAACCTAGATCAAAAGGCCAGTAAAACTGAATTTGTTGGGCAACATAAGAAAAATAAATTAAACATTTTTTAACTACTGCCTACAACTGTAGATTTCTTTGTCCAGTAGCAGTCTGATCCTTTCTTATCTAAGCTGCAAACAGTGTATTCAGACTTGATTTTGATTACAATTGTCTCTTTCTTTTCATCTTGTTTTCTTCTTTTTGTTTCCAAATTCTATAGAAAATGCTTGGAGGAAATCACTGAATAATATTAAGTGAACTACTGGACAAAAAACTTTATACTCTGGGTTCCTCCACCACCCCACCCAGCAAATTGATTCACCTACCTGCTTGTTTTTTTGTGATTCATTTTTAAGATTGCTATTGCAAAAAAATTTAAAACTAAAAATCTTAAATGATATGTGGGAAGCTGGAGTACTTACCTATGGAGTCCTTTCCTGATTTTGCTTCTGTCCACTCTGGAGGCCTCTCACTTTCCTCATTATCTGATTTACTTGCTCGTTCCATGGTACCATGCCCCAGAATAGCATCCAGTTCATTAAAAAATTTCATGCTTCTACTTGTACTCCCTGAGTCTTGGCCATTTTTTATGCTCTTGTATTCATGTTTCAGATTTTTATATTTTGTCCTGCACTGCTTCCAGTCCCTGTCAATTCCGAACTTTTGAAGTCTAGCAGCAACCTGTTCAAATATTCTTTTATTTCTCACTGTCCCCTCCAGTTGTTGCTGGATATTTTTGTCTGACCATATGTGTATCAGAGCTCTGACTTCATTAACAGTCCAGTGTTTTCCTCCTTCATTTGCTACTGTTGGAATGAAAGCCGGTGTTTTGGAAGCCTCTACTGCTGGCGGTGGATTACCTGCATCGTGTGGGGTAGGGGAGAGACACAGACACAGGTTACCTGCATTAGGTAGGTGGGGTAGGGAAAGGACAGAGAGAATGAGGATGAAGTATGCTAGTTCCTAATGATTTTTCTAGCGTAAAGACTTAACTTCCTGCATTCATCTCATGCTTCTGGTTTTACGTACATGCAAAACTCAAATTGCACAAGGATCTGAAGAATCCAATTCTTAACTCCAAACAAAGCACCCCTTTTGAGGGAAGTGGACAAGTGGAGAATTTTGCCATTTTGTGATCTGCTGGTACAAAACTGCTCCCTTTCTCAGTATAGTTCAGCATAAATATCAAGGTTTCAGTGATCAAAAAAATACATATTTTTAAATGAAAAATGACAATTTGAGCGACTTATTTTGTAGAACTGTATTAGTATTATATATTATGACTCTCTTCAGTCTCCAGCTTTTTTTTTTAGCATTAGGAAATAAAGGAGATACACACAATCACTGTAAACACTGAAATATGATCTCTTGCATTGAAGAAGAAATCCTTATTTGTAATTATGAATTTGCTTAAAGACGTCATTTTGATTGGTTATTGAATTAGTTTGGGAAGTTTTATCTCACGCATTTTACAAATCTTCTCAAAAAATAACTTAAAAAATATAAAAAAACAGTGTTTTATCAAAGAGAGCAAAACTGAAAGTCCACAACAGTAACTGATTTTTTTTTTTTCAGTCATACTGAAGTCATAAATGCTTTTGCAAGTGGCTTATTCTAGCAGGGCAAGCCAGAATACAGGGGTTGGATATGGTATAATCAGTGGGCTTTGTGTGATGGCAAAAATATCTGACCTTTGCTTGCACAGACAGCAGAAGTGGAACATAGTTGAGTATAATAACCTGTCTGGGGACAAGCTTGTCCTAGATACAGGCATTATTTGCTCTGTAATTCATTCCATTTGTGAGAAAGCTGTACTAATACCAATATTTTTCCTGTTAGCCCTGTGATAACTGGAACTCCGCAGCAGCCAACTGACTGATGTTTTATTAGGAAGTGTAATTTTCAGATAAGATATGCCTTCTTCATTTCTTCCTGAGGGAAAATGCTAGCTTCCATGTGAATGCAACCATAGGAATTGCCATGGTTGTCAACTGTCAGCATCAGATAAGCTTGATGTGGTCTCTGCTTAGTATTACTGGGAGTATTTCACCTATCTGTGTTTCCAAAGTAGCTCATTCTTCACTGTCAGAGAGCACTGTGAACACCAGAGGAAAAAGCCCCGGGGAAGAACAGCCCTCTATTGGCTCTGTATTTGTCAGTCAAACCCATACAGTATATGGTAGTTTGAGAGGGAAAAGGTTTCTTTAGTTCTTGTATAGTCCAGTATTTCTCATTATGAAGTTCATTTGCAACTGAGCTCACTTTCAGTTATAAACATTAGTTTGAATGAGTTCTAGTGACTCAGTGGATTGCTCATCTGTTCTACTATATTCAGAGCAAGTAGAGCAGAATAGAAAATTGCTTGTTTGGTTCCCCATTACCTTTAAAAAAAAAAAAAAATCAAAATATTTTACCCTTAATCAGACAAAGCGGTTATAGTCTCTATTTTTTCCTCAATGTCTTAACTTCATTTCAGCTCAAATTTGTTTAAAAATGATTTTGAAATTATTATCATAGGATATCCAAATGTTTTTTAATCAGAAAGGTGTATGTGCCATATTTGGTATTTTTCTCAGCTTCTTCAACATGAAAAAAGTGAGCAATCTGCTGAAATGGAACCAAAATATTAAGCAACATGGGTATGAAGGGCTCAATATTTTTTTTCAGTGGTGTCTGAACCACTGTCTGAAATCTGAAGATCAACTGGGGCATTAGAGAAGACATTTTAGTATCAGTACATACCTGAGAGCCTATGCAATTTAAATTATTGAGCTGTCTTCATAGAAAGCATTTTTTCCAGAACTTCAGTGATTCAGCAGGTGTACAATTAACAAATGTACAGTTAGAAGAGTAGCGTAGTTAGGATAGTATTTTACAGGTTTGTAGTTAGAAAGATTATCGTGGTGGAAAGAGACAATCAAAAATGAAATGCTCACCTGTGTCTTAGGCTCACAACAGAAAACTCCAAAAGAAGGAGTATGCTGCAAGAGCACTAATGAATAGCACAGACCTATTCCTGTAAACTTTGTTTCAGATATGGCAATAAAAGTTTTGGTTTTATGTGAATGTGTGTATACGGTTACTGCATGTGGTATTCTTGTCTCATCCTTGATTTCTTGTTATGCCAGGCAGAAGGAGTGTAGTGTAGCTATTAAAAGCCATAGGTTTAGCTGGGGCCCTGTTTTCTCTCAGAATATTGCACCTTGGAGATTATGTAATGAAAGTTGAGAATGGACTGGGATGTACCCTAGGGCATAAAGGACTTGTCAGAAGTGAAAAGAGCACTTGGGAAGATTCAGGACAGTGCTGCTGTTCATCCAGGGAAGGAATGAGCTCATCAGTTCTCTCTGATTCTCCCCAAAATGTGTTCAGATCTCTCTGTTGTCTTCAGCAGCCCATTGAAGGGGTTCACATCTAGGATATTCACCTTCCTTAAAGCTTGCCAGATTTGTACTTTTGCTCTGTAATAACTTTCCTTAGCAAAACTCTTACAGGAGTCCTACTGGCCAGTTTCAAGTTGTATTGTTGGACTAAAACATTGTTCACCACCCTTTGCTTGAAGAGAAGACACAGTTGCTGTGAAGACTATTGTGAACCTGGATTACTTAGTAGGAGAGGTCAGACTTCTGCACTGCTGTCCTGGCTCAGGCCATTCACTAATACTACTTCAAGCAAAAGTTACACGAGTTGGAGAAAATCCACAAGTTGACATGTGGATCACACACTACCATTTGTCATGCTTTCCACTAGCATTTAACAAAACTAATATGGTTGATATGGTTAAACTGGTGGGAGTGGTGGTCGAGCAGGAGGCATATCACATGCAGTGAAAAGTATTTAGTGATGCTTGAGACTGCTAAGTACTAAGACTAGGAAGGAGAAGGTGGAATAGTGTGATTATTTTAAAGCTTTGTTGGTCAGACAATGATGGCATATTCAAGCTATTGAAAATGCTCTGAAAGCTCAGAAAGCTATGCATTTAATTTTGGGTCACTGCTCCATCATACTATACCTAGTTGAACTGGTCTGACATGTGACATAAAAAGTAGTGGATCTCCTGGTGCATCCTCATCGTCTTCTAAAGAAACTGATAATTCACCTGGGGAGGAAAGAGTTTTCAGATGAAAAACAGGTATGGACAAAATTAGAAATTAGTTTAAGTGAAAATGTCCATACAAAATGAAATCAGTAACTTTGTAATCTCCACGCTTGATTTGTATTTAAATTAAACTTAAACTCATTTGGCCTGTCCCCATAAAAGGACAGGAGTTACAGGTGTTAAATTAAATTACTTTACATCTACATACAACGTCTGTTAGAAATATATTTTATTCTAAAATTCTTAATTCTTAGAAACTGACCAGATTCTAGTGACCCATATGCTTTTCTGATTCTAGGTATTTGAGGTTGCACGTTAAAACTATAGTTTGGAAACAGAGAATGTGGAGATGTACAAAAAAGTAGACTTTGCACATGGATTCAGATAAACATGAATTCATTTATATAACCAAACAAAAATTTCCAAAAAGAACATTTAGAGAAGAATAGGAAGAAGGTAATGATGTTCAGCAAAGAGTTGTGGAAATCTAGGGATTCATGGTACAGGGAATGCGGGAAAATACTTTGAGTAGAGCATGGACATACTTGTAGCCAACTGGATTCAATCTAGTTTTTAAAGTATTGCATTCCTACATTTCTTTAACAAGCAGCATTATAGCAATTGCTACATGCATTTGGAAAGCAGCACATGTAGCTCAAATTATGAGTCAGCTTAATTTTCACAGAGGACAGACTTTCAAATGGTGCTCTATTCAACACACACTGTGTTGACAGGAAGTTTGAAATGATGATTTTGCAGTTATGCTGAGTGAGCTGCTGTCATTTCCAACCAGGTAGGTCACACCGATCAAAGCTACCTGCACAGCAGTACTGCAGTAATAACATCAAGCAGTGGCAAGATGCAGTCCTGATGGAATGTGGCATCCCTGACGTAGGTGAAATTGAAAACTGCACCTAGATTTGTTTGAAAACATTATCCTAAATCCTTCCCGACTTTCAGCAAGACCCAGAATGACTCACAGATATTGTGGCCTCATCTCTAACTGCTGCCAGCTGTCCACTTTGTTTCTCTGGCAGAAGCTGTAATCCCCTGCAACTGGCTTGACAGGAAGAAAGGTGTGCTCCTGCCTCCACCCCTAGTGCCAGGCCTTGATCTGCCTGAGAGCCACAATGCAAACTGTGGAAAGGGAAACAAGCTCTTTGTGGGAGGCCCACTGAATGGGCCATGTGTGGGCAGTGGGATAAAGAAGCTTTATTTACAAGCTACACTTTAAAAATAAACTGCTTAATATCGTAAGCAAATAAGAATAGCAAACACGAAATATGTTGTATTTGAAAGAAAGGATATGTGATGGAAAAAAAGTATTTGATGAGTAAAAAAGTTTACATGCATGTATTGCATTCTTTTATTAATAAAGCGATAGTAAAGTATATAGAATATTTGTGAATGCTAAGTTTAATGTTAAAGTCCAGACATGGAAAATGACATATGCGTGGCATTTGCAGTTTGCATTTTCAGAGGATCTTTTCTAGTAGCCTTCTAAGTTGAGTGCATATGATAACAATTTCCTTGCTGATGTATTTCTATTCTGACTGAACTGAAATTAGATTTTTTTTCTACGTTTGCTGTTGTAAAGCAAAGGGCAAGGAAAGTGAGTTTGTCTTCAGATACCTCTCAGATTTAATTGTGATTTTAACTATTAGCTTATCTAAATTACTTTCTAAAGGAATCTGACTTTA